GTAAGCCCGGACTATATCGGGAGCTGTCTCTAGAAGTTCAGATCTTGTAAACCAGCGGTCGTCTTCCGGTTCCTGATAACTAAAATGAACCTTGTATTGTTTCTGCGGACGACCCCTACCTCCAGTTCTGAAGACATCCTCAGCCACTATACCATCTATGTCATATCTTCCATCCATATCAGGTGGGATCATCGATCTACGGGATGGAAACTGATCACTTGTTTGACAAGGTAGCAACTTCGATGTGTGGAAAACTGGATACGTGTGGAGGTGTGCTGGTAGTTGAGTGTATAGGACGGTCCATCTTCGCCGCCTTTGACTTCCAGAACAGGCCACGGTCCTCTATATGTGGGCAGTAACTTCTGCGAGATGTTCTCCTCCGGCGCAAACTCTTTAGAACTAACCCAGACTAAGTCGCCTACTTGAAACTGTGAAGGGCGACGATGTTTGTTCGCTTGCTCTATCATCCTATGCTGGGCTTTTTTTAGGTTCTCTATGACAGTAGCTAGTTCTTTCTCGTGCTGCACAGCAAACTCCCTGGTCCCGGGCGGCAATCTCTGAATCTGATCCCGGTTGAGTCCCTCAAACGGTCTGCGCGGTCTAAAGGACTTGTGCAGTTCGTTGGGAGTGCGGCAGGTGGSTAGATGCACGCTGTTATTGTACGCACTAGCTACTTTAGGCAACATCTCATCCCAGTTAATCTGATCTGGCCTAATATACATGCGCAAAACTTGCTGTAGGATCTTGTTCATTTGCTCYGTCTGRCCGTTAGTCTCTGGATGGCGGMCGGACGACATCAACARCTTAGATCCSTATACTCCCATGAGTTCTTGCCAGTTTTGGCTAGTAAAGCGACTATCTCTATCGCTAACTATAGACAGCGGGATTCCATTCTCACTAACCCAACAGTCAAAGAATCTCTGTATGACTAAATCAGTACGCGCCTCAGAAGGCAAAGGAACAAAAACTGCGTACTTGCTAAAGCGGTCAACTATGACCATGACTTGGCTCTTGCCATGCCTGCTCTTGACTTGAGTGTCATGAAATCTATTGACACTGAGTCTCCCGGCTGATCCGGAATGGGCAAGGGTCTGAGAAGACCTAGCGGGGCGCGCGTAGAACTCTTATTACGCTGGCAGACTTTGCAACTGCGAACATACTCTACGCAGTCATTCTTCATCCCTGGCCAGGTATACGCGCGTACGCTGGCAGACTTTGCAACTGCGAACATACTCTACGCAGTCATTCTTCATCCCTGGCCAGGTATACGCGCGCATCAGATGGGCCAAAGTCTTTTGCCAACCGAAATGACCCTCTGTGTCGTGACATTCCCCCAGAATCAGACTATGGATCTCTTCGCTATTGGGGATGCACAACCGGTCAAAGACATTAGTCTTCTCGAAGAGTAACCCTCCAGTAGTGCGGTAGTTCGGCTCGGTCTCTGRGGCCTCCTTGACTCGYGTGAGGAGCTCACWATAGATAGGGTCCTGCGCGTAGGCTTCTCTAACCTTCTGCTGCAGATCCTTTCCTATATCGAGGTAATGTACTATTGCCCCAAAGTAATCTGCTTTCCTACTCRGAGCATCCGCGACTACGTTGTACTTCCCTTTGACARGCTTGAGCTCGAAGTCGTACTGATCTATCTCTGCGGCCCACCTAGWAAGCTTAGGTGTCATCTTGGCCTGGGTCTTTAACCATCGTAACGTTTCATGGTCCGAATAGACTTTGAAGTGCCTCCCAAGCAAGTAGTGCTTCCAGTGGTCTAATGCTTGCCTGAGAGCGTAGAGTTCCCTCTCATATGTAGATGTCGCAACCTTCTCTAAAGGCATCCTAGCGGACATGAACTCTACGGGTCTATAGCCATTGCCATCGTCTTGCTGTAACACTGCGCCTATGCCGTACTGGCTAGCATCCGTAGTAACGACAAAAGGCAAGGACGGATCGGCGACCTTAAGGACCGGATACTCTATCAACGCCTGCTTTAGCTTCTTCATGGCAGACGTGCAGTCCTTGTCCCACTTCCAGATTGTCTCTTTTCTTAGCAATCTGCGAAGGGGCGCAACGATGGTGGAGAAGTTCCTCACGAACTTCCTGTAGTTATTCGCTAAGCCCAGGAACGAGCGCAACTCTGTCAGCGTACGTGGCGTGGGCCAATCTCTAATCGTTGCGATCTTGCTATCTTCTGGCTTAACGCCGTCTCCGTCTAAGACGTGGCCTAGATACAAAACTTGGGTCTTCGCCCAATCACACTTCTTTGCATTGATCTTGAAGTTAGCTTCTCTCAGCTTCTCCAAGACTTGCCTGAGATGACCCTGATGCTCTTCAGGGGTCCGGCTAAACACTAGGATGTCATCTAGATAAACTACAACAAATCTATCTAACCACGGCCTGAACAAATCGTTCATACARCGCTGGAACGTAGYTGGCRCATTGGTTAGTCCGAAGGGCATTACTATGAACTCATAATGCCCGTACCTAGTCCGGAAAGTTGTCTTATACTGATCATCAGGATGTACCTCTATCTTATGATATCCGCACTTCAAATCTATCTTAGAAAAATACTTGGCCCCCTGCACTCGATCTAAAAGATCGTCTATCCTAGGCAGTGGCTCAGCATTCTTCACTGTAACTGCATTCAGACTATACACATTCTCGACTCTCCCTCTTTCTTAGGAACAAAGAGGACAGGCACTCCGAAAGGAGACGAACTGGGCCTAATCCAACCCTTCTCGAGGAGCTCGTCCAATTTTTTGCGAAGCTCCTCTAACTCCCGCGGGGACATCCTATATATCGTACCCTTAGGAGTTCTACTGCCAGACTCTATCTCAATATGGTGCTGGATGGGCCGCGGCACAGTGCCTGTCGGCGGCTTAGTCAAATCCTTAAACTCTTCCAGCAGTTTGGCAATTTCAGGGTCCATCAGCTTCTCTTCCGTAGGCTCGGTCGTTGGCCTGAAATAGGCAACAAAAACATGTTCCTCTAGTTTCTCCTTTTTCACCAATCTGGCGAACGCGGGGGCACTAAGGCAGCAATGAGCCAAGGGATTCTCTTCTCCTGACACATGGAACAGGCGGGCAGTCTTGGCCTCGCCTGACGAACTAGGGAGCCTACACTCATGCTCCTTCAAATGGAGCGTGGCCCCGGCTGCCTCTCCCCAATCCATTCCCAGGACAATATCGAATGGGAGGCTGTCTTCTACGAGGAGAGTCAGGGAGTGGAGGACCTTCTCCACTTTCCCATTCTTCTCTAGGCGAAAATACGCCTGGACTCCCTCTACGTACTCCGCTAGAACCATAGTACGATTGTCTGCGAGGATACTATGGGGTCTGCTAGCTTTTGGACTTTAAGTCCCAGCTTCAACTTCTGCAGCGCTTTCCTACGAATATAGCTGCGGGTGGCCCCTGAATCTACTAGGGCCCCTACTCTACTTCTAAAAACCTCTGTATCTAACAATATAAGCTGCCCTTTATTCCCCTTCTTCATCTTGGCCCAGGCGGGCATCCTCTCCTTCAATTCTTCGGCCACGCCTGTGAGGGAGGTGTCTAACGAAACTCTAACACAAGCAGTTTCGGGACAGCTGTCTAGACACCGGCCTGCAACCTCTGCCATAGCCACATGTGGTGTGGGAGTCTCCTGCCGGCTAGCGCTATGTTCCCCACATGGCCTAATGGTAGGGGCAGTTGCTACCCCTATCGGCAACTGTCTTTTGGCCCTTGGGCAGCCGTTCGGGTCTCTCTGTACTTAGGACAATATTTGATGATGTGGCCCGGGTCACCGCAGAAAATGCATTGGCCCCGGTCCAATCGTTGTTGCCATAAAGCCTGGTCCAGACCCAAAGATTTCCAAGGCCTACCGTGTAGCCCCGGGTGCCATCCTCCTACCCTATAGGGAGACCTATTCCTAGGACGGTTTTGCGGGGGACCTTGACCCCTGCCTCCCACTTGGCGGTTTCCTCCTCTGCCGCCAACCCCCTGATCGCCCTGAAATCGGCTCCCTGAGGCCCGACCCCCTTGGCCCTAGCCTCTTCCTCCTTGCGGCCTCCCCCCAGCCGCGACAGCAGCGTAAGATCTCCCCTGGCCCACACCGTTGTCCTCCTCCTCTAACCCCCACTCAATCCGATCGTAGGGGATCTCATCCACACTACCCTCATCTAAGGTCAGGACAAGGTTGTCCTTGGTCTTTACTTGCCCTGAGATAGTGCGGCCCTTCCATTGCTTACCCTTGTCCAAGTCCTTGTGCCAGAAAGTGGACATAGATGCAGACTTGGCTTCAAAAGCCACTACTTCGCGACTAAGGGAATCGTATGTAGTGGCAGGGTCTTCGCTCTTTGCAAAGAAATGCCCTCGAAGGGCTTCGGGTATAGCCCGATAAAAGAGGCCAACCAACTGGGTGTCTGTAACCCCGTGGTCAGGGACAGCTACCAGTTCGTCCATTGTACTCTTAAGTGCCCTGGCACTCTTCCACTTACGAGCGTGGATCGTCTGCAGCCTGTCTAAGGCTTTAACGCTACGGGCGACATCAGCGAACCTCTCGCGCAACAGCTTCAAGAACTCAGTGAGGGAAGTGAACGAGGAGTACGCAACGGCATCGTCGCTGCAATTGGCAGCGCGAACTAGGGACCTTGCAAAGCTGGCGGCATCATCTCTGAGCACGTGAATCGCAATCAGAACCTGGTGATCCGGGGACACCCGTTGCAGATGCACATAGGTCTTGACATTGGCCTCCCAATTGTCGAAGTTCTCTTCCCTTTTTCCACTGTAGGAATCAGGGAATTTAACTTTGACCGGTTCCCGACGAGGAGGACGTGCTTCCTCCTCCTTGGGAGTTGCCGCTTTGACGCCCTCAATGGCGCCGGCACAGAACCGCTCAGTCTTGTCGAGGCGGTGGCCCACCTCGGTCCCTATAGCGCCTACCAGCTCACGCGCAAAGTCCTGAAACCCCAACTTTATGGAACGCACAGCTATGTGTTGACTCCTACTAAAATCATATTGCTCCGCCTGAATTCGTGCCAGGCGTGCAACGTTTCGGGCTATGACTCGCATTTGAGCTGGGAGTTCGGTCTGGGCGGCCAGTTGCTCATCTATATTCTTTACTTCCTCTAATTCTTCTGCCGCCTCCGCTGCCGCGTCCACTCTCCTCTTCTTCTCCCTCATCACTGCCAACTTCCACTCCATCCTCTTTTCGTCTTCCAATGCCTGCCGCTTCACAACATCCTTTTCTGCTTCCCAGACCCTCATAGCGGCTTCTTGGTCATCCTTGGAGATGTACATCGCCACCTCTTCTTCTTCGCCCAGGGAYAAGTTGGCTACCCACTCGGAGATTCGCTTYTCCATCTCTTCATCCCTACTACCACTGTACTGCACCCTCTTCCTCTGCAATGGTGTTTCATCTTCCTCCTCCTCTTCCACTTCTTTSAACTTCTCTTCTTCCTCCTTTCGTATCCTCTCCTTCTCTCTGGCCATCTCTTCTTCTATCTTCTTCAATTTGGCCGCCTGCTCCTCCTTCAAGGCCTTCTTCTTGGCCTCCTTCTTCTCCTTCTTCTCCTGCAGAATCGCGGCCATCTTCTCCTCCTCCTCCTTCGTGTAAGGGTTGGTGGAAGTACCACCCCGAGTGGGCCCTACTTTACACGCAACAGTGGGCCAGAAGCCCAGAGGGAAGAGGAGACGCCAGAGGGTCCCCCAGAGGGAGAACCCAACAAGTAGCCCATACATCGCATAGTCATCCATCGTGGTGTTGGTGCACGACATGGGTCCCACTCCTCACTACGTAGACCTACCCGGACACACTGACCTACTGACTGACTCCCTAAAGACCATAGGGTAGGACCCTGTCAACTATGGTCACTACTAACCCAAGACTACTCTAAGGCTGTCACTACAGAACCAAAAGTTGATCAGGAGGCATTTAAGGAGATCCCCCAAACTCCGCAAGAATTCTTTAACGTCGCAGACAGGACGACGCGATCAGCTTGGCTCCTCTGGCGATTTCAGCCCACAACTCAGCCTCTCCAGCCTACTGTGCCACACCGAGCAGCCCGCCGGTCTGTACCGGTCCTTGGAGGGGTTCGTATCCCTCGGGACAGTCGAGTCGTCAGACAGAGATCATCAGCCGTAGTAGGTCCGGTAGGGGAGTGGCTCAACCAGGCCTCAACACTTAAAGACGGCCTTCGTTTCAGCCGACAGCTCGGAGTTCGGACCCTTTACACTGAACTCAGTAGACCTGCCGGTCAGTACCGGTCATTGGGCTAGACGAGTTGTTTAACGAGCGCTCGCCGCTCATGCCCAGGTCTCCAGATGCAAGTGTAAAGCTTTGGTCCTACTAAGCCCGTGTAGGTTTGGCAGCAAGGCCCTATCCTTCATCCACAGAGTCCTAACACCTAAGACAGAAGAGACTCGATGCAGAAGGAGTAAACAGACAGACTCAGCAAGTACCGTGGGGTAAGTGCACATCCACAGGGTAAGGGGATAGGCTGAGGGCTCAACGAGATATCACCAACTCCATCTTGGTCAAAATCTTGGTCAGCAGCTCCGGTCCACGCCTTGGTCAACGCTGAGTCAACGCGGACAACCCCGAGTCAACGCTTGGTCAACCACCTTGGTCAACGCCTAGTCAACCCCCCGGTCAACCCTTGGTCAACCCTCTGATCAACGGCCTGGTCAACGTCCGGTCAACCCCTCACCTCGGGTATGGCTGCCGGCACCTTCACCTTCGTCACCCTCGCCGTCTACTTCCCCTTCCTTCACTTTCTTTCCTCTTCTCTTTCGCTGTATATATATATTGACGATATATATATATATATATTTTTTTTTTTTTCACACCCCCGGCTATGTCTGTCTTCTTCTTCGATCTCCTCCTTCCACACTTCTTCTTCTCTCTCCTCAGTCCCTCCTTCTCTGTCCTCCCTKTCTCTCTCCTCCGGCACTCTGTGTCAATGCTCCGCGGCTAWGGCCGCCGTCTTCCTCCTCCACCGGACTCCACAGCTCGGCTCACAGGTAAGTGACAACCAATCTTGGATCGCTCATCTCTCTCTCTCTCTCTCTCTCTCTCTCTCTCTCTCTCTCTCTCTCTCTCGCTCTCTCTCTCTCTCTCTCTCTTCCGGATCGTGATGATGAGTAAGGGTGGGAGGGTGTCTTGCAGGGGACCGGTTAGGCAATACATCGGGATGATCAAATGGTCAGGTGAAAGAAAGAAAGAGTCTGGAAGACACGAATTGTGAACAGCTTTTTGTGTGCAAAGGAGCTTTTTTTTTTTTTTAAGGCTAGTTCTTTAAGCCCAACCAATTCAATTACCTGTCAAATCTGGACAGGACGGCCTTCCGGGCCTTTTTTATTGTCATTCTAACCCCATAGCAGCCACATCCGTGCTCAAGCCTCCAACGAGGGAACATGCGGGAGCTGCACCCACCAGCAGGTGCGATACCTGCTACTGCAGGTGGCCGGTACGAGCCAGGGGTCAGCCGGTAGCATCAGGACCGAGCTTCTTCGATGGGCCAGTCACTGTGCCTCTCCTCCGGTCCCCTCCCCCTAACATCAGCAGTCTCTGCTCAATGCCACTCGGGGGGACCAACGGCATATCTCTAGGTGGCGGGCACCAAGCTTGCCCAGGAAGGTGCATGAGGCCAATGGGGATTGAACCCAAGACCTCCTGAATGCCACTTGCGTGCCTTACCAACTGAGCTAGGCCGTTGGATCCAAAGGAGCTTTTCATATGGTTGGCAGAGTCTGTCCTTGGTTTCAATAAAGAATGTCATTACCAAATGGGTGGAAGGCCAAAGCTTTTCATTATCTACCTACCACGACTCCTAGGAATCCTATACAGGGGACCCCTGCAAGCAGTAGCTGCCTCTCACAATTAAGGGGATGCATGTTGGCCCCCGCCCTAATCGGCAGTGGTCAGGTAGGGTGCCCAGAGCAGATGCTGTCAAGATCCAAAAGGGGGGGGGGGGGGCATCTACTTCGCCCCCCCCCCATCGAGGAGCAGCAGAGAGAAGAATGCAGCTTAGTAAAAAAAAAAAAAAAAAAAGCTAGCCTACTAACCCTTGTTAATTGTCTGCGCCTACTTCGCGTTTTTTACTACAATTTTTTTTACTAGGGTGGAATTGTGCGGTGTGCATATTGTACAGTGTGCAAGAGTGATCGTTAAGTTTTCTGTCAGTTCACGCCTAAGGTCAGGGAGGCGGGGAGGGACGAAAAATAACCTGGCAGAGACGTATGTGGGCGCTACAGAAGACCCTGCACCTCTGCACTATGGAGGTCAAGTACATTACCACCAGGCTATTTTTGTCTCTTGCCAACTTGAGCAAGCGGTTCCGCAAGTTTTCCTTTTCTTTTCTGTGTCCGTCAGATTCAAAAAGACACTAGAACCTCGTCACTCCAACATGTACATTTAAATCTGCGCACAGGACCCTTCACACTAGAATCCGCCAAGCCCTGCTTGATTCAGAAAGACACTAGAACCTCGTCAGTAACAGAAGAACCTACCCACGGGTAGTACACTAGAACCTGGCCAGTGAAATTTGTACGTTTGAACCTGGACAGGTTTTGTTCTGTGTTCCGCTTGGCATTCGCTACACGGGATACAGGTAAGGGTAAGTGACACGGCTGGAGGCGACACTACTTATGAGATCGACTGCTACTGGCATCACCCGAATAGAACCTCCGGTCATTATCGCTGCATCGGGACCGAAATTTGTGCCGAATACAGCTATAATGACCAGGTGTTCTATTCGGGTGGTGAAGACGGTATGTTCACGACCCTCAGGCGTCTTGGATATGTGGACGCAATGCAAGACATAGACTCTCTCAGGGAGAGGTGGGCATGGTCGTACCAACATGCCAGTTGGAGTGTGTGCACCAGGACACCTCTACGCTGGATCCAAGACCGTAGAACATGCCCAGTGGAATCTGACTGGCTTAACCTGTCCCTGAGAACTGGGCCGGCGGAACCTGCACACGGTACCGGTACATGAGACCCTGCCTGCTGAAATGCACCAGGCCCCATGGGGATTTCGTTCGTCTGGTTCCATCTGTATTCGAACTTGAGTCTGCATTTCAACAGTTCGTGGGTGTGCCAACCCAGCTACGAGCTAAGCCCACTGGTTGACGTCAACCAGTGGGGTTAGCTCGGTTGGTACACCCACAGACTGTTGAATGGCAGGCCTGAGTTCAAACCCGGACGGAACCAGACGAACAAAATTATTCCTGAAGCACCTGGGGCCGGTCGGTTTCACGATCGCGATGATATCTCAAGGCTGTAGCCTTTAAAAAAAAAAAAACTGAAAAAAAAAACCCTGCGAAGTTTTGGTTGTGGTGCCTCACTTGGCATAGGCATTGGCATTCACAGGAACATGTGTACACTGCAACCTCGTTGATGGGACTAGGACACACCAACCTGCCCACTGCAACCTGTCTCTTTGTTTTCACGCTTGGCGCACTATCATCATTCATCGTGTGAGCATGGCCGTACTGTGAATGAGGTTTGTGTAGTGGAGCATGGTTCTGTCCCGATACGTTCCAAATGTTGGACGCCATTCAAATGCACCTGGTCCAGAAAGGAGTCCAAATGGTTCCACCGCACTAGAAACGAGAACAACTAAGAACTCGTGGCCGTAGATTTGTTAAATCAATGGCTGGCAATATGTGCAAAACGACGTAGTAGTTTAGTGCAAAAAAAAACAACAAAAAAAAATTAGTACAGAGGAGTGAAGCCCATGGAGTGCAGCACACATACCTTGTCAATGGGCCTCCCACCACTACTCAACACTCTATATGCACTTGGACTCCCTTCTGGACCAGGTGCGTCCGGAGGATGCAACATTTGGAATGTATCAGGATGTTTGTGACCACTAGATGCATATAGAGTGTTGTGTAGTGCAGTTAGGCCCAATGCCACGCATTACAGGTGCCAGTTCTCACGGACAGGTATCCTTGTTTTTTTTTTTCATTAAAAAAAAAAAAATTTGGACCATTTGAACATTTCTCTCTCTTTTTTTTTTTTTTTTTTTTTTTT